TGGTCAACTATTCCAAAACTCAATCATTTAACATTACTTTATATAAAAGTGTATGATAGTAATGAAGGATGTACCAAACAACATCACCTTTCACTTTCTCGTGCATTATGTCTATCATTATTAGACATTTGAAAGACTTCCAGTAGTGATCTTTAGAAAAGTTACCATGAGAAACCAAGAATACATTGATAAAACGGTAAGTATGCTCTTCGCCGAAACTCATATCGCCGAAATTCGATAATCTGCATTTCGGCGAAGTATCCTTTCGGCGATGATACTATCGACAATGTGTTATTTCGGCGAGGTCACTATCGACGATCTGCATATCGGCGATACTATTTATTGATGAATTTCATTTTGATCACAAAAACTAAAATTATTAACTGAGTTGAGTTAGGAGTCAAGTTAGTAACTGAGTTGAGTCAGGAGTCAAGTTAGTAACTGAGTTGAATTAGGAGTCAAGTTAGTAACTGAGTTGAGTCAGGAGTCAAGTTAGTAACTAAGTCAAGTCAGTAACTGAGTTGAAATATATCAAGTAATAAGGTAAGTATGCTCTTCGTTGAAATTAATGTCACCGATACTTTTTTCGACGTATTTTTTTTATCACCGTCGTTTAAATAATCAAAACTGTCAGCAATGCTTTTGAGACAATACGTAAATAGATTTCAAGTCTATGATAGATATTTAAAAAGCAAGCGCAAGAGATGATCGCTGAAAATTAGATCGTTGAAGTAAATATTGTGGGTAATAAATGATCGAAAAAATTCGGCGATCTTTATTTCGACCATCTTTATATCGGCGATCTTTATTTCGATGATGTGTATTTCGGCGATCTTTTTTTTCGATTATTTTCCATTCGGCGCAAGTTTCGACGATCTCACTTTTCGGCGATCTACCATTCGGCGAAGAGCATTACATTCGCTATATCAGAGTGCTTCGTAGAAAGAACTCTTTGGCGAATTTTCAAAGCTTTCTTGTAGCATATAAGCGCTTTCGAATACTTATCTATTGTATCATATACTATACCGATGCTGTTGTGTGAAATATCTTAAATATTAAAAGATGATCCAGAGAAACAGTTTCATGACAAAATGCGATGCTTTTTTTTCTAAAAAGAAATCGCTTTCCTGTAATCGTCGATGTTGAAGTATGCTCCACCAATGCTGTTGTAGGAAATCGCTAAATGAGGATGATTTGATGGAAGAATCTTCATAAAAATCTCCAGAGCATTGTCATAGTAAGAAACCGTCTCATCATATTTACCTTGTTGATTTTTTGACACATCCTAACTGATGATAATAGTAGTCTTTAGTTGACTCATCGGAAGTCTGATCGAGTAAAGTTTGGTAAATATCTTCAGCCTTATCATTGTGTTAATTGCGCTAGTGGACTTCAATGACAACCTCTCGAATTTTCTCTTTCTTCCATACTCCTTTTGACCAAGTTTCGACATTTTCTCATAGGACAATATATCAATTACATGATCGTCACATCCATATGGCCATAATTGCCCTTCGAATAAATCAAATTCGATAAATTTTTTAGGATTGATAGTACTGTTAGAGAGTAACATAAGTATGCATAATGCACTTGGTAAAATCGTACAGCTCTAGGATTCTAAGACTCCTAGTGAAAAAAGTGACTATTTATCATAACTCTCGCTGTTTTTGAACACCAGAGTCGGAATTGGTGTCACTGAACTACGTCTTTTATGACTATATTCATGCTAAATTTCAGCTCCTTTGCTCTCAAAATTGCAGAGATCTAGAGCGGGAATACTTGTGGTCACTTCTGTAGCTTTGCTAGTATTCTAACATCGAAGTAGCTACAGGTAGCTAGGTGTTTATAGATATTGTTGAACTCAGTTCGACGAGCTGTCGTTGCAGACCTAATCAGAATGACGTTTCCTATTATACCTAAGTAGCTCGAGAGACGCTTCTTTGCAACTAAAACTGTATTTAATGTTACAATGTTTAAACTCTAATGTGTTGACTAAAATACCTGTTTTTCACAATAAATCATTTCGACTATGGAAAATAAGAAACGCATTTTTTGTCGTTTAACACGCTAGACTATGAATATACTAAGTAATAATTCGTTGAAGTTTAAACTAATTTACTATTTTCAATTAAACAAAATTTTTCTTCACACAATGATATTATTTCATTCATCTTTGATAAACAAGTCTCTTGAATAAAATGGCATTGTTTTACATATGATCTACTAGTACATTAAATTTCCTTGATCTGATAATAGACTATAGACGTTCATTTTTTGTCGATATCTCATCGAAATCCAGCGAACATGTTCCATTGATTTTTCAATCGGCAAAAATCTTTTTCTCTCTGCTATTGTTTTAGTATCGAACCATATTGAACGCAAATGAATATTGGTTACAAGAATGACTTAGATACTATTTTAGTGTAGTTGATGAGTGATTACGACTTGCTTCAGTGAAGAATGTACGTCATTCAATATAATTGACTGAAACCACAAATGAGTTGGTCGATAGAATACATCATGGTCGAATTATCTTTTCTTTTTTAATATTTTATGAATGTTTTACTTTATCTATTTTGTAGTGATTGACAATATCACATTCTCGACAGAGCTTCGCGTCGACGACAAAAACAGTTTAGTGATTCAAACCATTAAAACACTTAATAGATAGAAAAAAAAGAGATAGTTCAATCGTGAAACATTTTATCATCCAACTCATTTTTAGTAGTGCACAATCATATTGAAAGACATATTCCTCATTGAAGCATATTGCCATCAATCATACACTATATTACAGTTTAGTATTTTTAAAAGTCATTCTTGGTAACTAGCATACACTTAAAATCAAAGAAATTCTATACGAAAAGAATGATGGAGAAGGAGAAAGACTTTTGCTCACAGGTGTAAATATACAAATAACTGAAGTTTCATCCATTTTTAACATACATCATATAAATAGACTTAACTAGTAGAATTCTCAAACTGTTCATTTTTCTAAACTTTTGGTTCATTTAATTATGACTTTTAAAGAAATATGAACTCTGTCAGGTAGTATGACTACCTAGCGGTTGTATTTGCTATATCTCTTTATATTACTTGCATCAAGTTAAAGAACGAAAAGCTTGAAAATTGTACAAAACATGCCTATTATCTTATCAATAATTCCTTTCGACGTAGATGAATATCTGATAGTCTACCTTTTCTGATTGCTGAAGACGTTACAGCTAAAAAAAAACAATTTTAATTTATTTTACATCTTCTGTTGTGTGACTTTTGTACTTTATGAACAATCAATTATATACTCAACTAAATAAGAAAAGAACAATCGAAAAAACTGGAACATAGTATCACATTAGAGATTAAATTTATATATTTTAATCATTTTATGTTTTCATTACCATACATATTAGCTATTACTATTTTTTCGCTCATTGAAAAAATGAATAAATATGCTCTTCGATCTACCTTTTTTTCGCTTCTTTTGCAATCTACTTTTTTTCCTTCTTTCTTATGCTTCGGTAGCTATCTTCTTCTTCTCACTTCACCTAGCTTTATTTTTACTTTTTTTTTCTCTCTCGTTCATATAATTAAGAGTAAGTATTAGGTGAAGGCATCAAGCTAATATCGACATTTATCGAATTTTTAGAATAAGAAAGCATGATTATAAGTGTGTATTACCACTTATTACGTAGGACTTAGATGTTTAAATAACTGTTTCCACGATTTGAAACGTTAAAATCAGCGTTAAAACAGCAAAAAAGAGTGATGATTACTCTTTGTACTACTTGTAATCATTGTCTGATACAATATCAGATTGAAACCATATAAACGACATTTTATCCGTTGCAGATCTGCATGGATGCTATGTGTCCGTAGATATTTGCGTATTTTACTAAAATCTAGCATAGAATGATTTCGAGTACATTTAAATTTTTAATTGTACAGTTAAGATGTATTAAAAGTCGACATCAAATATGTATATTCCGATGCGCAATAGCTTTCTTTCTACACACAGCCCATTGATTTATATACAGTAGAGCCATAATTTTCTCTTCAACCATTCGTTATGGTTGTTCTTTGCTCACATGCACGTTTTGTTTATTTTTCAATCGTCACTCAAAATATGTATTGTTGAGACGAAGGATTAGTGTAATAAGATATGTGTTAATACGCATGTGTACACACATTTTCCTCTATCGTTCGCAAAATACTAATGTTGTTTTGTATTTTTTCTTCTTATTCGTTACGAGCCTGTTGGTATACGTCAAGTTAATTTGCTATACAGATACCTTTCGTTACTTGATTTCATATGCAAAGAAAAGTGAAGATTATGCTAAAAATATTCATAGTACTTTATTCTAAATATAAGCTTTGAAATGTAGTTTTACTTTTGAAAATATTTTTTTCAGATTTCTCTATTTTGTAATGTTTCAGCGATGAGCGAAAAAGGCACATTATTTTAAGAACTGAAGACACCATTCCTTATGTCATAAATAAAATTGTGTAAACAGATAGAAGACTTTATTGTTGATCAGCCACAAAAAATTTAGAAATTTTCGTTCTCCTTCATAAAATTTCAGGAGGTTCTCTCAAAGTTTTCTCTTTGTTCAATTCTCTGGCAGTATCAAGTGAAAAACATATGCGAAGTTTGTTCCGGAATATTAGCTTTTGATTGCAAGTTTAAGTTGTTTGCAAGATCTGATCTAATCGTTTCCAGATATTGGTAGTTGCAACTTTTAGTCATTTTAGCTCCGCTTACATTCGAGCCGCTCTGCTCGAACTCTCTTCTAAATATTTCTGCTTTTCTTAATTCGTTTCAGCTGTTTCAATTCGGACAGTTGCATATAATGTATTTCCGCACGACTGTGATCAGTGCAATTGCTATTCTCATATTTGCAATATATTATTCAAATTACTTCACTTTCAAAAACCATAATGAACGTCGCGCATGGATAACTTTTTTAGGAACCGAAGACTATTTGCCAGGTGTTTTGGCTTTGATGCGTTCATTGAAACGAGTTAATAGTATTTACCCATTAGTGGTCATGATAAACAAGGACTATTGTTCGGAAGAAGCACAACAACTTATTTTAAATGAAGGATGTTCTATACGATTCATAGAAGGTTTATATCCAACTAGTACAACAGTAGCGGCTTTCCCATATTTGATTCACACTTGGACAAAATTACGAGCATTTGAAATGGTAGATATTTGTGATAAATGTATTTTTATGGATGCTGACATTATTGTTCTTCAAAATATGGATGAACTATTTGATTTAAATGATACTATCAATTTTGCTGCGGTACAAACATGTACATGTAATCTGAGAAATGTTTCAACATATCCTGAATCTTGGAAACCAGAAAATTGCCCTTATACATATACTCATGAAAAATATTCTAATAATACGACGTATAATAATTCACATCTGAATATTATGTTTAATAGTGGCTTGTTCTTATATCGTCCGAATTTAACAACATTTCAACAAATGTTAGAAGCATTAAATACATGGGATTTAAGTGAATTTATGTTTCCTGATCAACATTTTTTGAATAAATATTATCATAACAAATGGACTGGTTTACCATACATATACCATGGACTAAAAGTGTTTTATAAAAGTCATCCGCATTTATGGGATTTATCGAAACTCAAAACAATTCATTATATACTTGAAAAACCATGGCAAAAATCTGCAGAAGGAAATGTTGAATATGAAGCTATTAATCGATTGTGGTGGGAAGCATACGAATGGAGATCGGAAAAGAAATAAAAATAAACAAAACGAACAAGCTTACTTTTATCTCGAGTCGAAAACTGTGCGATCGTGGCAAAAAATACTTTTTAAAAACATTTATAAGAGTTTGTTAGCGTACGAAAAAAATCATAATTATTAATAAATATTTTTTTCAAATTGCAAAATGACAAGTGTGTCTAGAGTAACTTTGAGAAATACAGTTAAAGTACAGAATAACATAATCCGAGTGTTGTGCTTCTCAAGTCATTCATCAATTTCCACTTGGATGGACACGGCATCATTAGTTAGCTTTTTCGCCTTGTCAACTAACTTTCTGTCTGTGCATATCTTAGTTTTATTGTCAAACTTCTGTAGGTATATGAACAGTAAAAGAGAGACATATCCAGAGTTCTGAAAAAGGAAACTACAACAATTTCAGAAATTTTCTTACTCGTTCAAATACACAATGTACATTAACGTAAGGCCATTTGGATTATAATAGCAATGAGCTCATTTTCCGATTAGACTGCATCAATTTGGTTGACATTACTTGCTATTCCTAGGAGTTTTTCATTGAAAGATCATTTCAATATTTTAGAAATTTCGCATGAACCAACTAAGTGAGCCTATTTTGCAGAGAGAGCATGAAAAACTAACCTAGCTAATTTTCGGGCACGGGTGCCTGTTTTTAATATATCCAAAGGACAAAGAGCACACGTTTTACGTCATAGATGCAGTAAATCGAGCCGTTCCATGATCGGATTCGTGCCCTGATAATTCTGTCTGGAGAAGATCGACGGATCTACGAAAATTGGCAGAGACGAAAATTAGTCCAGAAGTTTACAATAAAAGAACAAAAACTTTTTTAACAAGTGCTTGCAGTTATGTGAACAAAAAAGAATATTAGTACAGGAGTTATCTCTAGTTCTTCTGATTATTATGATAGGGTCATGTAAAAATAATACAGATGCCGGGTATTTTCGAAAACTTCTCAACTTAATTAATAGAAAAAGTTAAAAATAAACGATGGTTGTTGATGTGGGTCTTCGTGTGCCCTCTCCACACTCACATCCACACCTACACAAATACGTGGACCCGCACACTTTAGTATTCAAGTACACACTCTGGTTTGGCTTATTCCTTTGAGTTAAAGCTTTGATTCTGTTATCATTAATTTTTCGACTATTTTTCTCGTTCGATCATTTTTTGCTTTCCCAAGGTACAGCTTTCTTCATTAAACTTGACGAGAAATCTTTGAAGTTCTTAGGAAAATTCAATTCAGTAAACAGTCTGACCAATGACTTCGCTTTATTGAAATCAGAAAAAATAGTAAGTAATAAAATGTAGTTTCGAGTTTTAATCCGGGATACTTGCTGAAACTTTGTGTATTTGTATGGCGCTTGTGTTGCCACCAATACCGTTGTGTCCATTTTTCGACATCATATTGTTGCCTAGCATCACTACTGTGTTGAGACTATTTCCAGTGAAATAGAGAGCGTTTCCCAAACAATTGATGATACGGAAATCAGTAAGTTTTAAGAAGCTGTTTGCACCACGTATCAAACTATTGATGTAAACGCCGTCACCTTCAACAGAACCAATCCAATTGTCTGACAGAGACACATCGGCAGCCGATTCAATTTTTCTAATGTTACTGAGTACAGTTCGCGAAAATATGCTAGGTACACAACTCTTCGAATGATATCCTGCTCTGTTCTTGAGTGGTCTTATCTATTCTGTGTTTTTATCAAAGTATAGTCTCATCGTATTTCTTTGTTCTTTTTTTTCATTCTAAAGTGTATATTGTTCGATTAGCTGGTTTTTTTATGGTATCATGCATGACTGAAGGCATTCTTGATGCTGCCTTGATAACTACACTATCTATGTCTTCGTTTGCCGATGATTTCCCATTATCCCTACCCCTTTGCTATTCTTTTGACCGGTTCAAATATATTGCAATTAGGCTGAGCATATTTGCCTATGCATTTTCACTTTTCGTGTCTCAAGGCGAATTGTGTTCTGATACCCAATCATATCATTGTTTTAGTAGCGATGTAACAAGAATATTGTAGATGTCATGGCAACGCCAGACCTAGCTCACTTTTGGGTACGCCGCTATTGTGAAACATGATCCAAGAAAGTTCACTGCGGGATTAGTATGATAGTTGTTCTTTATCTTTTTTTATATTCATTGTAATAGATTGCACTTAATATCTTTCATCATCGACATGCACTCACGGTCGGTTGGAATTCATAAATCAAAATATACAAATATGGGTATGGATATGTATGAATTAAAGCAACATACCCACATCCATACAGACACCTTGAAAGAGCATTCTCAGCCGCAGAGCTTAGTTTGAAAATGAAGCATCTTTGTATTAGAAGAGAAAGGACTTTTGAGAAGACCACTGTTTTAGCATCGAGGGGAGGAAGACGAGTGTTGAACTGATCGGCTAGATCTTCTACATAAAAGGAAGGCTTTTAAAATGGGGCATTGTAAGATCCTGCAACACCGTGTCTTCTAACAAGCAAAAAGAGAACCGTTAGCTTTTGAAGAAGGCTCTTAAGTGTTCTGGGTTGCCAAATGAGTACTTTTTTTGACCTAGCCAAAATGTTTTTTTTCTGTATAGTACAATGTGAAACTTACGAAGATTTTTAACAATAAGTTCTATCATGGAAAAATAGAATGAGTTAATTCAATGTTTCGACGAAAATCACTTTGTAACACGTAAATTAATGCTCTCTATAACCCATGGAAATATTTTATAGAATAGGACTATCCTGAGCAAATTAGTGTTCCTGTTCTCGACAAATATGATCGCATATTAGAGAAAAAAATGTGATCCACTTAGGTAAATGTGAATAAAGTAAAACTGATATCCTCAGGTTGAAGTTCGCCAGCAAAGACGAAAAGACTGTTAGCCATGAAACGGAGAAAATTCTGTCTTTCAAAACACTAACATAAAGGCTGCCAATAAAGTCCAATTTAGTCTAAACGTGAAACAAGAGAACAGCTTGCGCCAAGACAAAAAAAATTAACTTGAAAATATATTTTCATTACGTGGCCGCATCGCCTCAAATGGGTTCCAATCTTGATCCTGAATTTGTGCATTTGTAAAATGATTCCAAAAAAGTTGTAATAGATAGATTATTGCAAGGGATATCATTCTACTGCATCATTGATTTAATTTGTTACATACTTTCTCGAACTGTTTTACAAACAGGAGTTATTCAGTATAAAAACAAGAGTATCATAGTTACTGCACCGAAGTATGAATTTCGATCTCACGCCACATTAAAAGCTAGATATGTACTTTACTTGTAGCAGGACTCACTGTTGTTGTCGTAGTGACTATCGTAGTGGTGGTGTCTCTCGTGGTTGTGGTCACAGTAGTTCAACTATCAATGGTTGTTGCTGCTTTAGTGTTATCAAGGACCAACGCAAAAATTTCAACGGCCATTGCTGCCAAAATACACACACTAATAGGAACAAGACTAATAATCCATGGACATGGGCACTTTGTTTTATGTCCATTAACGAATTTTCTTTGCTTTCTATTGATGAAGCAGAGACTCATAATTCTAAATGGAACTTATTCTTAACAAGAATAATCTTATTTTTTATTTCTTTCAGTTGGCGACTTCACAATATCAACAGTGTTCAATGATGCAGTTATCTTCCGAGCATTTGTCCTTGAGTGTATTGATGACGATGAATTCAAATCAGAAGTTGTCAATGACTTCAACGTATCGACAGGTAGTACAAAGTGATCGATCCTATGTTTCCGTTTCTTGTCAACAGGTATCACTTGAGAAATAGAACGAGATTTCCATCGATATCTACACAGGTTTAAAGCATGCGAATCTATGGTTGATCGATGCTTGCCCATTCACTATAAAATTACCAAATGAATTCGATCTCAATTTTTTTTTCTATCAATTTCAGAGCATATAAACATATTTTACATATTAAAAGGTATCCTTGAAGCTTTTCAAATGACGATTCTGTGTAGCTTTACTGACTAATTTGATTGAATTTCATGTATTTGCATTGAAAGACTATCACGTAGACAAACCAACTCAATAAATTTTTATTCCTATTTCACCAATTCACAGCATCATGCAACAAAGCATTGAGAAACTTGAAAATGAAGTTTTCTTGTAGTTTTCCATTTGCTGATCGACTGAGAAAATTTTGAAAAGACGAACATCAATGATCGAAATCATTTGGTCTAACTAGGATATCAGTATCGGTTTGCGTAGTTATAAGTGTGTGAGTGTGATAGAAAATCGTCTCTTCTTCAAACACACAACTACACTCTCACATCCAAATCTATAACCATACCTGGAACCTCACATCCACCTTAGCTCAAGACCACATTTTCCAATGCAAAATATCAAGCGTAATCCGAATATAGCCCAGAGTATATGACATAACCATAACATTTTGGGTGTAGGTGTGGCTGTCAATAAGGAGAAGACTCATACCCATATTCATATTCACGTCGACACACTTTCACGTCAACATCCACATCCAATTACACCCTCATACAAGATTTCTTAACGCCTAGTGGATACCTTTGTCTTGGTCAATGCGGCTGGTTTTCGAGTTTTTACATTCTACCTTTTCAATATAAATTGAATATTGAAGTATTATCCTCCCATAATTAAATACTTTTCTCAATAGGAAGTGCTATGGGGAAATGGACGTCGGTGAAAGAAAACAACTATACCAGAATCTACGCATTTATCTTTGAAAAGCAACAGTATAAATTAACCGATATCAGTCGAATCAAATTGAATTGGAATCGATGTTTTCTTTTTATTTTTCGTTCTTTGGAAAATTGAACAAAAAAACGAGTTTTTCATTGTCAATTGACGTATTAAAGGCTATTATGCGAACAAAACAACAGGGTAGCTATCCAGAAGTTTTTTTTTGAAAGAAAAAAAATAGATAGCCAACACTCTTCCTGCGAAGATAGCCTTTATTGAACTTTTTCGTTTCTGACAGATGATTATTAATGTATGACTATCCATCGCATATATTGGCAGTATGCATATATGATATTTAGTTTGCATTTGAGCAACACATTGTTCTTCTGTTATCTATTCCATTTATTATTTTTTCGGAATCACACAACTCGCAAGAGTTGAACGAAGCATCACTTCCACCTCTCTGACGTTGACATTTTATTATTTATTAAGCAACCTACAGTATGTAAAATAATTATTTAGACACTCTATAATACTAGTCTTC